TGCTGGCATCATCCTGCATGGACAGGGCCTGGCCTTGCCTTCAGAGAGGTAACGTCACAGAAGGAGGAGTTCCCTATATTGCCTGGGGTTGTGACCATCCTCGGGACTTTGGGTAGCTGCAGGCTTGGATGGCCTGAAATTTTAGTAAATGCAGGGAATTATTGAGCAAAAAAAAAAAAAGTGTTTGCTGCCAGCTGGGCTTGGCAGCTGCAGGAGCTTTGTGCTTGTCCATGTGCTGCACATCAGCATTGCTCTTTCCTTGGGTGGCACTGCATCGTGGGCTTCCCCCGTTCTCCCACTGCGAGGTGTGTGAGTGGGTTTGATGGCAGCAGGGAGGGAACAGTAACTTGTTTCTGGTGTGACTTAAGAAATAACGCGCGTGTAAAGGAGGAACGTGCATTATAATGTGTGGAGAGGGAGGTGGGGTGCCTAACAGCTCTTCGCTCTCCTGATGCCGTGTGTGTGTGCTGTGCTTTTGGATACTTTCATCTCCTTCAGTGCTTAACACAGAGAACATTCAAGGACAAGGCAGCTGATCAAAGTACCACACCCAGCAGTAATGTGCCCTTGTGCAGACAGCACGCATCTCACGACTGGGATGCTTGAAGTCCTGTCACTGCAAGTGGAGCCTGTGAAATGTAGTTTTGGAGATGGGCAGCTCCCGTTTGAGCTGCTGTAGGCTTACTGCAGACTTGGACAGATTTTTTAAGAGAAGGGAGACTGCGGTGCAGCCAGTGGTCCTGCAGGTGGATAGCAGTGTTCTCCCCGAGGAGGTGCAGCAGTTTGGAAAGTTCCCTGTTCAGTGGTGTGGTGCTAAATGAAGCCATCAGCAGGGCTGTGCTGTGGGGTTAAATGCCCCGTAAGGCCTGCACAGCCAGTGTAGGAGCTACAGCAGTGCTGGTCTGTAATCTGTGCAGATCTGCATTTGTTTCAGCGAGTAAGTGCAGGAATGTGCCTGTATATGAATGGTGAGAGCAAAGCCTCTATTTAACCAGTAATAGACTCCCAGATCTCATAGTAAGATGGGAAAGAGTTCCTAGTAACTTGAAAAATCTTCTAGGTATCAATGTATTAGGCAGAAGTGTGTGTGGGAGTGCTGAGCCTGTCGCCAGTACGGTACATGCAGTACCACGCTGAAACAGCAGTTATTGCCCTGGAGACTGCCTGTGGACACTGATGGTTTCTATGCTTTCTTTGCCTTAAAAAAATGAAATACTTTTTCAGCCTTTCTTTATATTCAGGTGGTATCACAATGTTGGGCAGAAGGAACCTTCAGCTTTAGCTGCGGGCCATGGAGGGGTCTGAAAGTGGCTGAGACAGAGCTTATGTGCAACTGCTTTTCCAAATGCTGTGCACAGAGAAGTGGGAATCCCAAGACCAAGGTTAATTAGTTTTATTTATCTAATGTATCTTATGCACACTGCGCTCACAGCAGCAGTTAGTAGGCAACGTGGGCTGCTTCCAAGGGCTGTTAGCTCCGGGCAGCTGAGCTTCAGTGACCCTGTTTCCTTGTCCCCGTGGCCATGCAGGGACTTAGGGTGGTAGGGTCAGTAAAGCAGTATGGAGGGTGTCATGAGTAGAGATCAAAGAAACATTCTCCCTGCCTGAATTCGTAGAATCTGGGGATTATGAACTCTTAATGGCTTCTTTTTAGCAGACGTCACTGTCACACTGCACGTTTTCCAGGCAGGATGCATTCTGCTCGTTTTGCTGTCAGCAGTTGGTACAACTCCTGAAATGTCATCTTCTGTTCCTCTTCTCAGTGAGTGACTCTGGTTTATAAGGGCGGGTTGTGGCTGCATAACAGCACGTACAGAGGGGTTGGGTATTGGGCTCTTCCTTCTGTCCTCTCAGTTTGCAACCTTTGAACACTGTCTGGTACCTGCTTGCTTCCTTATTTTTAAAAAACCATCATTGTTTAGTTATTGACTGTCTTTTCTGTGGCCTTAACTATACTGTAATGCTTCTCATCTTGCTCCCCACCACGTTAGTTGGTACATACTGCATGCTTTGCAGTGCCACTGTTGGCTTCCAGAACCACACTGAGCTCCTGGAGGCACCAGCCCGTGCAGCATCCTGCTGGGAGCCCTGTCTGCTGAAGCACAGCGAGGCTTCAAACAGTTCTGATTTATCCCAGCTTGGCCTTGGAGTCTCAGAGGTGTTTTAGTGAACCTTTGGCTCAAACACGAGCTTAAAATTGGACAGTTATCCTGGTAACTGCTCTTTAGTTCCAGCACAGGACTTGTGTGGCCCTGGGCGGTGGGAGCAGCCGGGATGGGGCTGCAGTGCCTGCAGGGCGCGCTGCTGGCAGGCAGGGGATCCAGCCCTGCGCGTGGGTAGCAGGAGGCAAACTGTTCAGCAGTGGTATCACGGAGTGGTTGGACTCGATGATCTTGAAGGTCTTTTCCAACCTGAGCAATTCTGTGATTCGGTGATGCTTTGTGATGGCTGCCCTCCCTTCCTCACCTTCTGATGTGTGGCTCACATAGGAGAAGCTGCAGCACGTTTCGGTCTCTCAAGGCTTTGTTCACTAAATATGCTGCAGATCAGTGCACTGTAGCTGTTGGAATAAATAATTAAGCAGTGCGGTTGTCAGCATTAGTTAATACGTTACATTCTGATGTGTTCTTACTGCTTTAAGTTCTGCTAATTCATTTGGTGATTAATTCATGAATTTCAGCCACTCCTAATTGTGTCATGGGTGTGAACCGTTGCAATAAAGAACAAAAATAAAAATCAGTGCGTTGAAAGGTGAGGTAGGTGAGGTTTCTCTTTCCTTCCCAGTTGTAGAAGAGAGGAGAGTCTGTGCTGATGATGCCCTGGTTGGTGGGCTGCCCCGACATCGTGTCAGTTGGGAAGCATCCCCCATGGGAGCCGTGTGAGCGCTGTGCGCCCCTGACCTCCGCGGAGGGGTGTTAAAACTGCTGCCATGTTGAAAGAAGGCAGCGCCTTCCTCTGAGGTGCACCCTGTGAGCCAGGGGTCGGGGGCTCGGGTGCTGCTGTTCTGTGGTGCTGGGGCAGGCAGCTCCTGGGGGAGAGGCACCAGAAGAGCTGGTGGTGCTGCTGCAGGCTGCTGGTGCATCTCAGCCTTACCCAAGGGGCTCCTGCACGTTTCTCGGCGTGTTTGTACTTCTGAACTGCTCTTGGTGTAAATATTTTCTGCTTTAATAATACAGCCCCATTTCTTTTTAATTAATTTGAAGTATTAAAAGCAGAAGGAGTTATATTGGAACCTTTCTGGGAGTATGGGAGTATCAGATGGATCGACGTTGATGTTGAAGATGAAATACAATTTATTTAAGGAACTACTGGCATACCTGTGGTTGGGAGGGGCTCTTCCAGCCCTGAATGAGGGGGCTTTGCTGAGGGTCAGCCCTGCCAGAATCTCCAAGTTGAAACAGAGTTCCTTTGAATCACTGCAGATCAGATTTACTGTTATTGGAGTTGACACATTAAAGGTATTGGTTTGAATGAATCCCATTTGGCTGTGTTAATCAAGCACAACTGGATTTATTTACATACATAATTTTAGACCTGTGTGACTTTTTTTGGTAAATAAAGTAAAACTTTGGCTGCCTTCTGTATTAGTTACCTCAGTGCTCTCTTCTATGAGAGTAAGAGAAATATCTGTTTTCTAACAGTTTGCCTTGTATGAGATGGTGTTACTACTAAGTTGCCACGTGTAGGAAGTGTTAGGTTTTGTATTGGATGCACTGGTTTTGTGTTTTGTGACAGTTCCTGGGAGCTGTGGCTGCACTCCATGGTGTGTCCTTGGGCACGGGAAGTCACCAGGAATGCTGCAGCTGTGGCTGGAGCAAAGGGACAGAAAACTTCAGCTTTTGCTTTTTTCCTGCATGTGGAGGTGACTGCAGAAGGTGGGCACAAGCGCAGCGCTCTGTGCTCGCAGCTCTGTGCTCTGGGGGAAGCTGTGCGATCTCAGTGGGTGCACGGATCACATGCTTCTCCCATCCACGGGATGTGGATCCTGTTGTCTGATAGGAAAGCCCGAGACAGAAGTGGCTCCTGGAGTGAAATGACCTCATTGCCACGCTCTCCTCTGGGCAGCAGCTTGCTTTACGGGTTCGCTCTGTGACTCCGCTGATGTCCGAGAAAGAAGGGCAGCTTCTGTCAGCTGCCACAGCTGGCTGCAGGAAGCTCTGGGTGTGGAGGAAGCAGTGCCCCAGGGAACGGTGCTGCCCAGGGCTTCAGCAGTGGGCCTGCAGGTTGCTGTGCCCCGGAGGTGCTGTGATTGAGGATGTGGGAACGCTTCTTTCTGCTCTCTCCTACTGCTGAGCTCAGGCTGAGTTCTCAGTGTACATTAGAGTGCAGATACGCAGCTTAAATCTGCGGGGGAAGATATCCAGCTTCTGTTTTTGTTTAAACTGTCTCTCTCTCAGAAGAGGTAGGAGTGTGAGCTGAGCCTTTTTTGGCCCTAGAGCTGCCTGTTGGGAACCCAAATGCTGAGCCTATCGAGAGCAGGGCAGACGTGCAGCAGCCCCAGCCCAGCCACTGTCCCGTCTGACTCCTGGACTCTGTATCGGGGGAGCCTGGCTGTAGTTTTCTCCCTGCAGTAGAGTCCTCCTGCCCCCCACCGTCCTCCTCTGGTCTCAGAGCCCCCACAGTGGTTCTCCCAGGCCTGGAGGCACACTGTGATGCACACAGTGTTATTTGGCATAGACAGAGGGAACTTTCTGACATGGGATTGTTATTGTGACACGTAATTATGATTGGATGTCTTCATTATATAATTGCATGATACATAACGAGTAGCAAAAGCTTATTTCCTCTGCTCTTTGAATACTGAACTTCTGAGATTAATTAAGCTGATTCTGAAAATGCTTTTAATTATACATGCTGCATAAACATCACTATTAAGATCAAATGAGAATGTTATTGCCGGAGCAGTTTCTTACAGTTTTTTGAATGCCCACTGTGTTCTATATTGCTCTCTAAAGAATTGTTTGGGTTTTCTTTTTTTTTTTTTTTTTTTCTTTTTTCAGGGAGAAGAACCTCCCCAGACGGTATGTGAAATAATGAGGTGGTACCTGAACATTTGCTGAAACACATCAGCTGGCTTCAATCTAATTGCGGCGTATAAAAGCAAGCCACTGTAAAAGTAAGGGCATTTTATTTCAGTAAAGAAATGCTTTATTGTTGGTCAAACGTGAATGTAGAGGATTATCAGCATACAGCAGTAGTATGTGCAGGTGGAAGACCAGCGTGTACTGAACTTGTCCGTGAACATTGCTTGTGTGATTTGGCTGCCCCTGTTTTAGTGAAAATCGCTCTGAAGGAAAACGGCTGTTTTAAAGTGAAGCCGTAATCCTTGCTGGCTTGTTAAGGACAGGCTGTGCTGGGGGCAGTAGGAAGCTTTCTCCTTTGGACCTGGGCTGACCACAGTGTGCCATCTGCACCCAATCCCTTCCCACCCCTTTCTTTCTAACTTCAGTCCAGAGATGTCTTGATGTAGGCAGAGGCAGCCAGAAAAAGCAGATAAATAAGAACTGTAAATAACAGGCTGAAATTTCCACGTCATTGAAGGTTTCTTCTGGTAGCAGAAGGCAATAGGCAAGGTAACTAATACCTAAAGTGCAAACATACAGCAGCCAAACCGGGGGTTCCCCATGTTGCAGCACATGCAGAGGTTCATTGTCCGAAGGGAACTTCCAGGGAAATCAGCAGAAAGATCGATAGCCTTCAGCTGCAATAGAAGCAAACCCTTTTTTTCCGTAGCGGTGCTCACACACATGCCCACATCACACGGTGTTTTTCTTCAGGTAACTCCTTGGCTCGTGCGTCCCTCAGAGTCCCAGCAGAGCACACAGCTCTGTGCTGGCTGGGCGTGCAGCAGGAGGCAGGCAGCTCAGTAGCTTTGCTGTGCTGCACGCTGCTTCCAGCGGCCCATCAGCTCTGTAATTGTGTCGCTCTCATTAGAAGCTTGGCTCTGCCCACAGTGCTTATCCACACACATCCCTTGGTGCTCTTAGCAGAGGATTCCCCTGCTATGATAGCCACGGGATGCTGTCTGTGGCTGAGCAAGTGGAGCTAAATAGGCTTTTGATGGTATTTATTTGCCTTGCTTTGCTCACTGAGCAAGGCATACGAAACAATGCCTTCAAAATATAAAATTATGTAACAAAACAAGTTCTGGAGTAGAACTTGAAAAGGGCATGTCCCAAACTTCCTATCTTCAAGATCTGTGCAGTTGGGCACAATTAATTTCCACTACTGCACAGGCTGAATTGGTGGTATTTATGGGTTAGATCTGCTTTTCCTGTTGTCCTTTGTCATCTTCATGTAACAGTTGAGGAAAAGAGCAGAATTTAGTTCAATATAGTTGTCTCTGGGGCCTGTATTTGATGTGATCTTATGTTACCAGCCCTTCATCCCAGCCTGCCTGCATTACAGGGATGTTTGTGGAGCAAGCAGCACGCAGTTAGCAGTACCAGGGCTGTTCAGTGCCTCATGCAGGTGCCCCTTTGCCCAGGGCTGCTTTGTGCCCCTGGGGATGGCCTGCAGGCTCTGTGCTCCCTTGTCTGCTGTGCAGAGCATTCTGCCGCTCTTCAGAAGGAAGTTAAAAATGAAATTAATGGCATTTATTCTGAAGCTTGTTACACCTGGGATTCCTGGGCAATTGCATCTCCTAATGGAAAGGATAGGGATCCCATCAGTTGGCATTAGTCTTACCAGCAGTCCTCTCTGCATTGGTTATAGAGGTCTGTCTCGGTTGTGTCTTGATGCCCTTTCTCATTAAGTGTTACTGCCAACGTGTCTGCAGAACACAGGAGAAGTTTTTCAGAGTGCCGTTTGTTCTTTCGTGTGTAAGAGGACATGGAATGTTGACCAGGGATCACAGTGCTGTTTCCCCTTCTGTGCAGTGGACTTGCTGGTCTGTGTTGTGCCCACGAGAATGGACTCACAGCTGTGTAAATGGATGTGTGTTTGCAGTGAAGGAGGACTCAAATTCACTAATTGATGCACTAATATTCTCATTTACATGCAAATCTGTGTTTTTTGTTGTTTTTTTTTTCCATAAATACATCTATTTGCATAAATAAAAACCTCTTTTCCAAATATTTCTGTGAACAAAACCAATTTCAATGGATGCCAAAAAAATGTCTTTGAAAAGGAAAGGCCGATTCAGAATTTGCATGGTAGTTGCTGGTTGTTTTCCTTGCTGTTAGCCTGTCTGTGCTTACAGCACCATCCTGGTGACTGTGAGCAGAAGGGCTCCGTGTGGGCCATGCTGGGCTCAGGCTGCTCTGCATCCACTGGCACTCCCTTGCTCTGCCAGAGCTGGGAAATGGGCTGTGAAGCTGGGAGAAGTCGTTGCTTTCCTCCGAAGGAAGGAGGAGGAGTCGGAGTTGTGCTGTGCCACTTCGGTGTCACATCTTGTCCTGGCTGTGTGTGGCTGTGTGAGGCTGCAGGGATGGCAGAAGGCTCCTGGGATGGACGGCAAGCGGCTGCTCTCTGGGTGCGAGGCAAAGAGCCGCAGTGACAGCAGTGCTCGTGGCTGCTCCTGGGACATGGGGGCTCCGCTGACGGGACCTTCAGCGCCGTGTATTTGTAATTCCAGCTGGTTTGGGGGAACTGCTTTCTTTCCTCGTCTGTAACTTTCTTCCTCTCCCGTGCCCGTGCTTCCTGCCTCTCACACAGCTCCAGGAGAAGAATTTCAGGAAGCAGCCCATTATCAGCCCTTGCAGACGTGCCTGCAGCACAGCCCTTCGCACAGCCCGCTTCCTGCAGGCGCAGTGCCCCCGGATGGTGCCCCTTCCCGCAGCGCTGCCTCGGGCCCATCCCGTGCGGCTGGCGAGGCACGTCCCTGTCTTTTCAGGAAAAGTCTGACACTGTGCTTTCCTTCACAAGAAATGTGTCTCCGCTGCAGAGGAAGCACGCTTTCCTTTCAGAAGTGTGCCACGAGGGCAGCTGCTGGTACGCTGTAAGGCACAGGGTGCGCACCGTGCTGCGTGAAGGCTTGCTGGGTAGGTCAGAGAGTGCCTAGCAAAAGAGAAGGGGGCAGTGGTGTCATTCCCAGTGCTCAGAGGAAGGAGTGAAGCAGGAAGAAGAGTTATGTGTCCAGTAGAGCAGTGTCAGTGTGGTGTGAGGCTCACGTCTCCGAGATGCCTCCAGTGTTCCCCATCCTCCTTTGGAATCGCGCAGTGGAGCTCGTGTCAGTGAGCTTATTGCTGGGAGGTGGCTTTTGTCCTTCTGTGGCTTGAGCTGTCTGGGGTGCCACAAACATTTATGCAATTTCTTCTCCTAGAAGGTGTTTCTAAGTTGTTGATCGTTTTAGAAACATCAAAGGTGAATAAGTGCACTGAGGTTGTTATATGTTTGTGTTGTTTTCATTTAACAAAGATAAATGTAAAGGCTTCACGCTTTTTTTTTTTTTTTACTGTGTGATTCCTCTCTCAATACCAAGACTCACCAGTGCCGTGGCACTGCTCGTGGTGCTGCCTGGCAGAGGTCGCCATCCCTGTTAGCCTGTGGGATGGCTGTGCCATGCAGGCTGTGTGCCTTGGAGGTGTGCAGCGCTGGGTAAGCAGGGAACTGGGGAGAGATACAAGGCCTCTTTGTGTCCCCAGATTGTGTAGTGGAACAAATTGTTGTGCTTTAATGTCCTCAACCTGCAGTCACCCTTTAAATGCATGAAAAAATTGATATAAAAATTGGAATTTACAAATACAGTGTGTGTGTACACATAATAGAGTGTATTTACAAATGCATCATGTCTCATGAGACTTGCATGTTGTTATAATTTATTTTTCAATATTTTACACAAAACTTTTAATTTAGGAATTGAAGACTGGTATGCTTTTTTGGGGGGGAAAAAAACACCCAAAAAACCCCAAACCAACATTCTTATCATGGAACACACAACAGCTTCCTTCATTGGGCTGACCTTCCCCAGCCTCAGCAGCAAACTGCTGGCTCTGCTGACAGCAGGTGAGATACAGAGGGGCAGAACAGCCTGCACTCAGTCCTGTGTTCTGAATGAGAACCTGAAGGAGGAAGAAGCCAATGTAAGGGCCTGTAAAGATGCCCCAGAGAAAGCAGGCTCACCTGCAAATCCAGCTACCATGAATAGAATGGGCCAAACCAAGGTGGAGCCTCATCCTCACTGAGCTAAGCTATGGCAGGAAAAAAAGTCAGCTTTTACAGGAGAAAAGATGATTTAGAAATAGCCTGACAAAGCTATCTGTAAAATGCTGCTATTAAATTGGTGTCTGAAGTACTTCCTTTTTGAAGTTTGCAGCTCAAACATGCCTCTCTATATCTGTTACTATTGTGTGAGATTAGAAAAAGAATGAAGAAACTTCCATTGGTATCTTGGGGAGAAGGAATTTTGGGAATTGTTTCGTTGTGTGCGTGGTGGTTTTGTTGTTTTACACAGCCAGCATAAACCTGTAACACAACCTAGCAGGAGTGTAAGGGTAGGGAAGGGAAGGGATTCTGGTTAAAGTTGTCTTGATGTCATTCTCTTCTGACCGAATGCCACGATTATCAATTAGCATTTTCACAGCTAATTGAAAGAAGTCGCTGTGTTCTCTCCGTGGCACTGGAGAAGCACTGTGCGTGGGGTTGAGCTGCTGAGCTGCTGCTGCATTTATTTTAGCTTTTATAATTTCAGCAGAAATCTGTGTTGGTTGTGCAGGCTGTGGTGAATCAATCTCTGCATTGTGGTGGGCTCCAAAAAGCCTGTTAATATTTCTGCTGTGCTTAATGCATAGAATTTGGTCCCAAACAAAATCATCTTTCTCTCATAAAGCTCTGGAGGTCTAACTTGACATAGGCTCTGTTCCCTTCTAACTGGCTGTTTTGTCTTTTGGCTTGGCTGCCTGCTGCCCTTTCATTCAGACAGCCTGCCCAGCAGGGCTGCCCCATGGCTGCTATGGCACAGGGTGCAGTGTTGCCTGCTCTTACTGTGCTCTGCCTCCTTTCTGCCATCATCTGCAGAGTGAAAGCACAGATGCTGATGTGGCAGCAGCGTTTGAGACGTGGAGCAAAACACTCACAAATTCTCATGTTGCATTTATTGTAAATAGGCTTTCATTTTCAGTTTATGGTGGTTGCTAGGCAAAGCAAAGGTTGTCTCTCAATCAGAACCAGATGTTT